TTTCCCCATTTGCGGGGTACCCTGAAAACGAGGCCCTGAGGGCCTGTCGTGCCTGCCTTCACTTAGGGCGGCCGACCTTGCTGCAAATAAGGCCCGTAGGGGCTAAGCGGGCGTAGCCTCGCACTTAACTTGAATTATTATTAATATTATTATTTTGATTATTATGATTATTTTTTTAATTTTTTATTATTATTTAAGTGGGATCTCCACTGTGTAGGAGGGAGCATCTGCATTGCCAATGACATCGAGAATCTGCCATGGTCCTCTATATGCGTGCAGCAACTTTAGTGGTATCCCCTCCTCCGGAACGAACTTTTTGCAGTTAACCCATACCAAATCACCTACAGCGAATTGTGATGGTCTGTTCCTACCATTTGGTGCTGCACTTGACTTAATTTAAAAATAAAGCAACAAGTCATTATAAGTGTGTTTCCAGCGAAAGCGCACCTCTCAGACAGAACATCTCACGAGACTGCGCGTTCTGTTGTGCTTCCCTGTGTAATCGGTTTTGTGTTGATCGAGCAGAAATCCCTTGATTATAACGGTTCCCGTATCGTCAGGCTTGTGCACCAGGCAGGTGTTGCGTGATGGCCACAGGACAGTGCATGGTAGGTAAGGACTTTTTAGTGAATTTTTAGTGAATTTTCAGCAAGTTGAGTCTGCCTGCCTTGCAACCTGTACAGGCATTCAGGTTGGCTGTGTACCGGTATGCATCACTTTCACAGGCTTCACCAGAATGCTGATGCGCTTGACAACAGCCTCGGCACACTGCATGTTCTCGAGAATCCATCTAGTGGCGACCCTTTCCCTGGACCCATCCTCACCTGAAACAACAAGTACGACCAAAGAGGTCACAGAGACAAAAGAGCCCACAATTAAGAGTCTGCAAAGGATGTACCATACTAAAAAAGAAAGAAAGAAAGAAAGAAAGAAAGAAAGAAAGAAAAGAAAGAAAGAAAGAAAGAAAGAGAGAAAGAAAGAAAGAAAGAAAGAAAGAAAAGAAATGAAGGGTGGCGGCCTTGAGATATCATCATTGAACGGACCGGCCGTGGGTACTTCAGAAGTATGCTATTTTGTTAATCCTGACTGCACTGACCGGCCCTGGGTACTTCAGAAGTACGTTATTTTGTTAATCCGGACTGCATCCGGACTCAAACTTCGGTCTGTATTGCAACAGCTCATGGGTGTACTGATGCCATACTTCATTATTTTATGTTTATTTTCAATCTAGTAAGCAATTTGAAAGTGACCCTCAGTCAATAGTTATTTCATTTATAACTCGACACAAGTTTCCTTTACCAAGCTTCTTCTGAAGTTTTAATTTATTCTAATCCTTGGGTCGGGGGCTTATGGCTAAATAGGGCCTTGCCCAGAACCTTGCCTCAACCTGGCCTAACCGGGCTGCCTAGGCAGTCAGACGCAGCCCGCACAGCCCAGTATCGCACCGAACCCCATAGAAAAGTTGGGCCCGATTTGACACATTCAGGCCCAACAAGGCAGTTCCTGATCTGGGTTAGCGTCCTTCAGAGTCGCTCATATGTGAGTTGTTCGGGTAAGTGTGGGCAAATACACAATGGCACTGCACACCCCAATCTCGTCCATCGTCAATGTGCTCCGCATGTGCGAGCTTCAACCCTGGGTCATGTGCGGGGGGTTCAGCCTTGGGGAGTGCGCTATCCTACCAGCATGTTGATCCAACTAAAGGTATTAAACTGATACAGCCCCCCCCTCC